TTACGTTACGTTACGTTACGTTACGTACGTTACGTACGTTACGTTACTACGTTCTACTTACGTACTCTACTCTCTACTCTCTCTCTCTCTCTCTCTCTCTCTCTCTCTCTCTCTCTCTCTCTCTCTCTCTCTCTCTCTCTCTCTCTCTCTCTCTCTCTCTCTCTCTCTCTCTCTCTCTCTCTCAATAACTGTTTTATTGATGTAAAGAACGTGTACAAAATTCTATTCTTCCAAATAACTGGGTGCATATTGTGATCTTTCATTGTGTTTGATCCTATTCTTCATGCTTCTTTGTTTTTGCCGTGCACCCTGAACAGCTTTGGCATTAAATTATCATGGGAAAGCTTTCTATGTTCCCCCTACAACATAGAAGTTCTATCCTCCCCCTACCATTCAGCCGTCCCTTTTTTAATCAAGAGAGTCACTTACCGTTTGATCTTAGATCTGACGTCTCAAAGTATTTTATTTTTATTTTTTTTAATACAAATTTTCTGAATATGAAATTTGGTACGTGCCATCTTCTCATTGGGGCGCACCTATAAAAAATATTAACAATAATTTTTCAATAAGATATAATGACCAAAATACCCCTTGAAACTTTCAAATGTATTTTAGTCATTTTATTTTATTGAAAATATTTTTTTTAATATTTTTCGGTAGTGCGAGTTTAATAGAGGAATGGACGTCCAAAATTTGGTGTCAAAATAGTTTATAGAGAAAAATTAAAAATAAAATAGTATAGAGATGTGACATTGTGATTGGGGCAATCTTAGCCCTCCATTAAAAAATGGACGGTTGAATAAGGAGGAGGATAGAACTTCTATGTTGTAGGGGAACATAGAAAGCTTTCCCAATTATCATTTGATGTGTTTCATAAAGAATTATTGTTCCTGTAGTGGCCATACTTATTGGTTGCATTACCTCTTTCTATGATAAGAATTAATGGTCATTTGTCTTTCCTTTGTTGTGGTTACTTGCAAAATGTTTAATTGGTGCCATTTTCTTGGATGAATATGACTGCTACATCTTTTTTTCCTATACACACTCCAATAGGTCCTTTGCTTTTTGGGTAAGTAATCAATGTATTTTAAAGGACTGAAATATGAGTCATGGTCATGATTTATTATAAGATGGTCCTATATAGAGGAAAAGGACAAAATATCAAGTTCCTCTGAGAGGTATATGTATGTACTATTTGTGGGAACTTGACAATGACATACCACAAGTATACTAAGTTAACAAAAAAATCTGCTTTCCATAGTATAGGCCTCTTTCGACGTCTTAGTACTCATAGCAAAGAAATGGTCCTTGTTACGTTTATCAGCGGTCATCGCCATATCATCTAGGGCTATTTTCTTTATTTTCTGGAATTCAGAGGTCTTTGGTTTGTCTTAGGGGTATTATGCGGTGTTTTGGCATATGCTGTGTTTCAAAAGAAAGGTTCCCCCACGAATTATGGCTGGCTAGGTTGGGACCGAATCATTCTTAAATGGGTGTTGAAGAAAGCATAGCTATTCTTAATACAACATGCACGCAAACTGGGCTTTAAGGTTCTATACTGTAGAATTTTTAGCTAGATCGTAGAACAACCAATAGTTGTTGGAGGCAGGAGCTGGGTCAGTTTGGGGAATGCCAAACTGCCATTGGATGAAAGCTCCTTGGGGTAAGGATCAACGTTCGTGCATTCAACAAGTTAAGGAACTAGATCCTAGGATACCTGGTAGCGAGATCCCATGTCAATAGGATCGAGGTTTTGACTTAGAGGGATCTAAGCGCCACTATGCATGAAAAGAGATCAATTAATAGTAAATAATAAAATTAGAATCTATCCAATCCTTGCTGGATCCATTATCATGCACCTTAGCTTTATTACCAATGCCATAGTTATAGTATTCCAATTTACTGTAATAATACAGTTTAATAATATACTATGATATTTCTTAATACCATAATTTTAGTATGCACAATGTGATATGCACCACAGTTTAACATATTCTAAAGAAATAAATATATAATATCAAGAAGAGGAGCAATAGTTTAATTAATAGTATTGCTTCTCTCTTTGGACGGATTCTACAAGCATGTAGACCGAGATCCTATTTTATAGGGTTGGGAGCTAGATTTCTATTTCTCTAAACCCAATTTTCTCTAAGATCCGTTAGAGGAACTGCAGGATAAAGTTCCTAATGTGGGGCCGTTGCTTACCCACAAGGTTCCTGCAACTACGGAACAACCATACGCATACTGATTAATCTCTTCTAGTAGATATGAAAATAAATAAATATTTTTGAGCCTCATGGAGACCCAATAAGAACCTGGAAGCGAAGTTCTTCTAATTTTCTTTGACCTCTTTCATTCTTTCTAGAAGCTTGCATAACAATATTGTAAAAAAATGGTAGAATCTCTACTTATCAAAGGGAAAAGACAAAATGGAACTGTATCTTTGGGTATCTTTCTTTGTGAACCTTGCCATTAACATAAAATTTTAATAGGTTTCTTTTCCTGAAGCCCTAGGTTTCCTATCATAGAGGTGTCCTCTTCTCGGAATATTTAATTGCATACCCAAAGTAAGTTCTCATTTTCCTTCTAGGTTTTGTCATGGAAAACCTAATTGATGGCCAACTTCTAAAAGTATATTTTTAAAATATTTTGTCCCAAAAATGAAAATAATATAAAATGTTACTTTAGGGGCCATCCATTTTAGCTTTACTTATTTAAAACATCAACATTTCAAGTCTCTTTTAGTTCTGCTGAGGGCGGAGACTGAAAAGCCTTCCTAAGACGAATTGAAAAAGGAAAATGTTCCAAAATCTTTCCAAAAGTACTTGTAGGGATTGTTCTTTATATTTCCTAATGTATCCTTGCCCTTTTAGGAATCTTTTACTGAAACGAACTCCTCAGGTTTTGCAAAAAGGACTAAATTTGATAATTTATCCGTACATATTTATTTGGTTACAACTTTGATAAACTTGTTCCTAAATTTCTAACCCACTACTCTTTCTAAAAGTCCATTGGCTGCTTCACTGACACTACACATTCCGACACACTTGCAACTTAGTAACTGACGCAGGTAACAGGACCATAGTTACATGGATCTTCCATCTATGGTGGTGCTTCCACTCTCAAAACATGGTATGGAAGTGAGAATGCATTTCCTTTCTCTTAGAAATGTGCCCCTCCTTTCCTCGGTAACTCTTCCCACATATCTTGGCAAGGAAGAGCCCTCCTCTTCTTTGGCAGGCTCCATGGTGGAACCTATAAAATGCGTCATTGCCTCATATGGTAATTTGGGATGTAAAGAATGGCTAATTTTTGTATTAGACCAAGTTGGGAAAAAATTCAAGCATCAAAATACCTTAAGTATTTTTTAGTTTATTTTATTTTTTTAAATATTTATTTATCTTTCATATATATTGTATATCACTCCCATGGCACGCCCTAGCCAGGGAGCTTCTGGCAAGCAACGATCCCATACACTGCATCCCACTTTTGATCCTAGTAACCTGCTCTCAACAGAAATGAATTTGACTATAAACATATGTATGCACCTCACACTCTAGCAACTCATTATGAAACTAAAATGGGTGGTTCCACTCAGCCTTTGGATAAAATACAATGAAATTTTCTACACCATTTGGACAGTCCTGCTTTAATCTCCACACTACCGTTGCCAGTAAAATTGAAGGGTTCTCATGGGAATGAATGAGATGCTAAAATTGCTTGAAATCTTCTAAGATCATTAGATAAATTGGTTAAAAGGCAGATAAAGTAGTGTGATAGGGATAGTTATCATGGAGGTCTGTATTATTAATTTATTATTTATTGCTGTTGGTATTGTTATTATTATTTATATTATTATAAATAGTTGTTGTTGATGTTGTTTTTGTTATTATTATTATTGTTGCTGTTGTTGCCATTGTTGTTGTTATTGATATATAACTTTTATCAAAGAAGTAATGTGCATTCAAAATGGGAAGGTCCTTAATTGCTGTAAAATATGATTTCTTACGTTCTTGTTTCCTAAGGCTGCATTTGAAAAGCTTCCGGAGTCCGTTCTGGGCTGTAATGCTTGAGATGTTGGTTGGCAGTCAATGCTCGATTTCAGATGTTTGGATGCACAGTTTCATTCATGCCATAACACACATTGATGCTAATAACTCGTGTTTCGCATTATATTTGTGAAGGGGTTGGGACCCCTTTTTTCAACTGTCGAACATGCAAGAAAGGGACTACATGCATAAGTCGTTACATGTGCCAAACAAATGCGGACCTGTCGACCTTGAGTTTGGTTCTCTATTTTCATAGTGTCACACGCTAGTGAAAAATGTGTGCAAAAGCATTATTGAGCTCTGTGGTATTCTCTCTACATTACTGCAGCCTCCTCATGACATTCTTCCGGCATCTTCATTATGAGGAGTTTGTGATTACATAAA